GACAGATTGATCATTTAAGGGGAGCAAACGGGCACGATTAGATAGAATGGGATCATCCTTGTATTCTCATTAATTCTTGTATGAACCCGACTGACAGTAAACAACACCTGAGTTCCGCTGTCTTTTGATTGGTTGTAAACCCAGCTATATAAGATTAGGCTGAGATGGCGATATTTCAAAAATCACCAACCTTACAATCTCCATAATATTGTCAGCGTCTTTTGGAGTGGTTGGAGGCGAGACTGGCAACTGCATCGATAAAATTGATGGAAGGCGAGGATAACGTGAGCCTGGTGATGGTGTATGTTGCTTTATAGCCAAGTCAGCTTTGCCAGAGGTAAACAAGGACTGAGTGTCCGAAGAAATGCGGGTGACCCTACTATGTTGGGTCGCGGTGTCACCGGTTGCGAACGTTCGCGGGAGCCCAGCATCACATGTTGACTTTGTAACTGTGGGGCTGCCATGGGTTAGATTTCGGACGCACGGTGGAGCAGCGTATATTCTACCAACGCTCCGTGGTAACTCGGGAGAATGGGAAAGATCGATCCCTACAAAGGGAAAGCACTCAGATTAAGCACCAAAAACCCTGATGGTAAAGTGGGTACAAAAACAAATCCAAAATAAGGATGAAGTTCGTCTCGGCTTGGCACAACGCGTCGGTGGGTTGCTTTTCAGCATCAATCACACTATGCTTTATAATCGAAATCCCCAAATACAGACCTCACACACTTCATACTTGGCAGATTCTCCGACAGGATACTGAAGAAAAATCAGCGAGAATTACTGACACATCTCGTCCAATTGGCTACGAGAAATGCCTTTTTCATATTCACCATGCATTCAAGTATGTTTAGTGGCTGTGTGGCGTTGCAGTAAACGCTGAAAAACACCATCTGTGTTTAAAATTAAAACATTTCCCCGGCAACTATACCTTCTCAATGAGAAAAAGATGATCATGCGCCACACTGATCCAGTTAAGTGCATGTGAGAATTTCTGCAAAAGCCAGAGAAACCTATCGATAAGGTCCTGAGCTCATTGATGTCCGAAGGTAGTGGCTTTCCCATGCACCGTTTATTTTTAACTACTACAATTCCTAGCTCGTTACATGCACGACGCCTCAGAGTTTCGTAATCTGATGCAATGAGGTGATAGTGCAAATAGCCACGAGCTCTTAGCATCCTCAGTTCTATCAGCTGGTGCCGGGGGTATCAGTTCTAGTGGCATCAATTTTGTTTCAACAATTAAACTCGACCTCTTTGCACCATATGACTTCATCACATTGTAAAAATACTGAGTGTTATCTAATCAATTTTCTCGTATCATCTACAAATTTTCCAAAAACCCTGCTAATTCGTGAGACAAGCATATGCAAAATCACTTCTGTCGGATGGCCTGGTCATCTGGTAAGAGTTACAACTGCAGATATTGAAACGCGTTCCTTTCTCTGCATGGCTGTTGCTGGGAGCTGCGAATCTAAGTTACCGTCTGTCAGATGTGGCCAAGTACAATCTCAAAATATAAAAAAAGAACTCTGAATAATGTACGATCTCGCTTAGCGGTCCGTCGCTGAATACCAGACTCCGTAAGCGGCACAAATATGTGAAAACCAAGTCTCAATAGAGTATCCATTTCGATTGTCCCCGTCCCTCTCCAAGGACTTGCATTTTCGTTCGCATCACATGATTTTGGGTAGATATCCAAAATCATTACCTAGTTAGTAGCATTTGTAAGGTCAGTTGCCATCCAGACTGTATGAGCTGTTGGAGAAGACGCGAGTGCTCGCAGCAAGCCCCGTTTATTTCACCACTTTCCAACCCTCATCATTTACCTTCACTTAAATACAGCAGCCACACACTGATATTGCCATCAGCAATGATGAATAGCTCTTCAGTGTCACGATCTCATAATGATTCTTAGTCTTCAGTGTGTTGGGATTCCAGACCGTTGTACTTTGTCTTGTCGAAGCGTACTACCTGGTGCACCAAGCTCGATATTCAAAGGTCACCTCGTGACAAATGCAGAATTACCCATTGTGGCATCATCTTACAACGAGGCAATAAATAGGAGAATGCAATCAAAGTGACTCAGAGGAAAATGTTCTACCGGTCCACATACACCTAGAGCTCTCAGATTTGGGACAGACTGGATCTTTCGGTTCCATTCGGGAACGTGAGTAAATTACGGTGACAAACTAAACTGTCTGATAGGAGGCAGAAGTAAGTACTCACCGGGCAATATGCGGTTTACCTAAATGATCCTGTACACATTTTGGGGACCGCAGTTTCCACACACACACACGTTCGTGTTTTGTTAAGTTTTCACCTAACTGAGAACGCGTAATCCAATGGTGTTCCCCAAAAGCTATACTGGGTCTGATGGTTTTTGAATCAATAAATCTTTGGAACAAAGGAAGCCGCTTCAGAGGCCTAGAAGTATTCATAAGTCGAACACTAGTAGAAGCTGGAATTCATACGAACAGGAAATCCAGGGAACAAAGGAAGCCGCTTCAGAGGCCTAGAAGTATTCATAAGTCGAACACTAGTAGAAGCTGGAATTCATACGAACATGGAAATACAGCAATACATCGATCGTCATTCAAGCTTCAGGTAAGAACAGAAACACTAACAGCCTCGTGCATCCGGGGGAAGTGGACTGCCAGTATTCGCCGATGTCCAATTATTGGGACACAGCTGGTAACCGCCAGAAAACAACAGTCAGCTGTGTGTGGACAACTTCCACGGCCAGCCAATCAATAGCGGTGCAAGCAGATAAGCCATTCGATTAAAAATATCGATAAACCTCTACCGACAGGCGAACGTTAAGTTCCGATCAGAACTGGACGGAAAGGGAGAATAATCAAGACAGTCCCATTAGTTTCAAAATCAGAAATCTGCCAAAGACTGAAAAGCAGAAATCCAGGAATTCCGACAAAATAGTGAGGGGAATTTCTATGCAAACAACTCCGAAGGGTACCGAGATCCATGAAAAATAGGCCAAAAACTGTGTCGGTTTGTGTGAAAATATAACCGATCGTGCTTTGGTATGACCCAGTGGTGCAGATTGTATCCTTTCAGCATTGCACAAGCTTTCAACATAAAATCCAACCGTTCGGAATCCCAAGTTGTGGATTTCTGAAAGCTCCCAGTGAATTCGTTTCAATGGAAGTTTTGGACAGTACTTAAAAAACTATGTGTTATGGTTGCACGTGGGCTGTGATAATATAAGGGCGCCCAGATCCAGACAGGAGTAAGATTGGGGTCGTCTATCAAAATATTTGGCTAAAAAGCCGGGCCGCATGACAGTGGTGTTTTGGAAAAGCGAGTACACTATCATTTTCAAAGGACAAGTTTCCACACATTTTTCAACCCCGAACCTGAAGGACCAGACTATTGGTAAGACAACCTGGTATGAAACTCTGACACAATATAACTCGGTGTGTCACAGAGGCACGTAAACCGTCACCTCTTTTTGACGGGATAACCAAACAAGTGATTCATGTATTACGGCACTACGGGCGCTCTGAGTAGTAGTATACGCACTGATGAGTGGTTAAAACATATGCTTTTCGACTGGGTTGAGATTGCTCTGGATGATACACCTTTCCCATCCGGTAAAATAAGAGTAAAATGAAATAATCCTTCAGCTGTAACACCCTTTCGGTGCATAGCTGCCTGCCACCCGAGAGGAAGCACGAGGGCTGGGATACTGCCAGGTTGCCCAAGCCTAGACAGGGGAAATCAAGAGGCAGAGGTCGGGTTCGAACCACGGACATCCCGGTCAGTAAATTTGCGCTCTAACTACTTAGCCATCTCGTCCCGGAAAAGTGTGGTTTTCATTGCCACAACTCAACCCTCAATCGTAAGCCCCGAAGGCAGCGTACAACGGAGGAACCACGTATATAAACCCACATGGATGAACGTCACATCAACAAGGTAATGAGTAATCGCAACGACATACAAGTAGCTCATGCTTCTGGAAAACGTACTGCAAACAAGCCCCACCGATATATAAAGAGTAGGGGAAATATGGCAGCTAATGAGAGGATAACGTTTTTACTCCAAAGCAAATAAGGCGGATAAGGTTGTCAAATCCAAAATTACAGCTGAACACTCTTGATAGTAACGAACGGATAATCATGGCAGGCACACAAAGGAGTGGCAAGTGGCAAGGTCTAGTGGCGCCTAACTTGACAGAAGGCAAATTCACCTCGCGTTGCGACGTCATGTCCTGTCGCCCACAAGCGTTTAGCCAAGCAGCTTCCAGTCGACGGGGGTCAAACAGATGGAGCCGATGCATTAACTAGCTCAAGCTGACCACCCTTATCCGAGGTTTGGGCGATCGTCTCATAACCTAGTGCTTCCGATCCAAAGCTACCACCTTGAAGTGGTGGTCGCTGCAATGATCCCGCGGGCTACACTGGCTGGAACTTCGTTCCACAAGGTGCAACCATGCCAGGAAGGCCAAAGAGGAGCAGCCAGGCCAAGAGCACCGACACTCCGTACTACGAGTATTCGTGCTACGATGCGGCCTGGGGGTAAATTCGTACTGTTCTCTGCGACAGGTGTATGAAAGCAATAAGGTGTTCTTCAGGCGACCAGCATGTCCATATTTATGGATGCAGCAATGCTACCTTCCCCCGAGGAAGGACAGGTTAGAAAAGGTCGGCCCCAAAAACCGCACACTCCGATCGCCCAATGGTTGACCGTGACCGCCGGATAATTATCCAGTACGATCGAAATACTCTTAAAAACGTAAGAGTCCGGTGCTGCTTAAAAGGCACCTGCTGTGCGCAGTCGCATCAGGAATGAGGCAGTAATGCCTCATTCCCTGCGCCCTCGGGTTAGGGCAGTCCCCTGAAGCCGAGCAGGTCAGACTTGAGTCATCGGCTTCGGGTAGGGTTCCCAAAGAGAACCCTACATTCTCCCACTGCCTCGTGGGTCAGATTTTGAGTCGAAGGGCTCAAGGTGAGGTACCTAAACCAAACCCCCTTCCTCGGCCTGGGCAACCGGGAAGTATCGTTTGCTCGCGCAGTTCAACGTCCATCGATGTCCCTCCTCGACCCACCGCACAAGCAAACGTCGCTGGGCCATTTGACTGTCAGTCATCTGACCAAAGGGCCTTAGGCTCCTTGCTGCCTACAAACAT